GAGCAACCAGGTCCTCCGTTTAACCAAAGCAAATGAGGGTCTTCTTTAGGGTTTCTCTCGGATTTGATGAAGTAATAGAACAGTTTCACTTCCTCCAACTCACCAACACCAACATACATTCAAACATTACATCGAATCCACGAACGATTAGAATATATATCCGGTTTAGTCCGGATTAGTTAGGTCTATGCATCCCGCTGGAAGTTATGAACTTCAATCTTGGAGAAATACTAATCAAAACCATACCGAACCATTGCAACTTCTAAATGATATAAACGAGTAAACAGATGGTAAAACAAGCTAAACAAAATCAATTAATAAGATGTGTATTCTAATAGGAATCATTCCAACAAGAAACATGGGAAGAAACCTAACACCCCAAATCAACTTGTTGAATAAGCGATATTCACTGGGCCAAGAGTGCTAGGATTGGTCATTGGGGGTCGCTAGAACGAAAAGAAAAAGGGGGATACGAAAACCATCCATTCCGGTTCTATCCAGCAAGCAACAACAACAATAACTAATTCGTAATCAACAACGGATCCATCTTCGCCATTCTCCTCGTTCTTGGATGGTATTTCGGACAAGAGATCTTTGGTCTTGATTTTGTCCTAAAACATAGTGAGTTACAGTCCCATCAGCCACTACTCTCTGTACGACAAAGGTTGTTTATACAAGATAAACATAAATATATACATACATGTATGCATTGTAAACATAAATGTTAAATCATATATGAATGTGTATGTGTATTGAAAGAGAAGAGAATTAATGTTTGTATTTTCATACGCACCTTGTTTCTATGGAGTCTAAACGAGTCTGAAAGCGTATAACATTGTCGTGAATTTGAAAACACACATTGCTTTCAACTCACCCATTAAATAGGTTGTAGTACGCACATATATGGTGGCATGGTGGACATGTAATTTTTATTTTAAAAAAAAGAAGAAAAAACGATAAAACTAAGAAAATTAGATAAATTAAGTAAATAAAGAATAAAAAATAGAAACAAATGGAAAAAAGTGACGGCTAAGATAAACTTAAAAATCAATCTAATTTACTAAACGTTATCTTATATTTTAAATTAATTATAAAGATTAATCAATTATTAATTTAAAACAAAATACCCATAAAATATATAACTTAATAAAAATTCTTCCTCATTAAATGTTAAAGATCTCAATTATTAATTTAAAACAAAATACCCATAAAATATATAACTTAATAAAAATTCTTCCTCATTAAATGTTAAAGATCCATCATCTATTGATTTTGAATAAAAAAATCATGGACTATCTAACTCAATTATTAATTTAAAAAAAAATACCCATAAAATATATAACTTAATAAAAATTCTTCCTCAATAAATGTTAAAGATCTATCATCTATTGATTTTGAATAAAAAAAATCATGGACTATCTAATTCAAAACATTTCTATTCTAAACCTGATATAAAAATTTATTAGTTTTGAAAATATATATAAATCATAAAATTTTAAATATCTCAAAAAATAAATGTTACTGTATTTATTTATATTTTGATACTTATAATTTGTATTAACATTTAAGTTTTTGTTATGATATTTTTTATTTCCAAATTTATATACATTATCTTTTATATAATAAATTTGTATACAAATTTTTATATATAAAATTAAGTATATTTTATTGATAGAAATATATTTGTTAACATTTGTCATATATAAATATATTTGAGATATTTTAAACTATAAATTTGAATTTTATAAAAGAATTTAATAAACAAAACATTATATAGTGATTGAATAATTTATGGTATTTGGGTTTCTAACTATTTGAGATGCAATCGAAGATGAACAAATGAGGGATGATTTTCCCATCTGAATTGCAATATTTGGTATTGATATATACAAAGAAATCTAACGACTAATGTATCAGTTAACATACAAAAAATCTGTCAAGTATATTACATAGCCTAAATCTACGCTTCTTTCCTTCTTTTCGGATCGAGATTGCTGCAGGGAATATTTTCCTTGTATGTTGATGTGTAGGCGAGTAAGGCGAAGCTGATTGCTGGATTAATGAATCCTTCGTGTGGTGTTATGAGCTGGGCCTAGTTTCAGATGACTCCTCACGTGTATGAGCTGCTGTGTCACGTATCGAGCTTGAGTTTGAAAGAAAACCGGCCGAGCTTCATTGAGGCTATGCATCCGAATATATACAGCAATTAGAGTTTCAACCTAGCTGAACAAACTGGGAAATAAATCTGCTAAATACAACAGTTTCCTAAATTGTAGGATATGCGAATATACATTCCCGTTTACCCCCCTCAAGTTGGTGCGTAGATGTCATGTACGTCCAACTTGCGTAAGAACACGTCGAACTCCTTCTTGCCGAGCGCCTTTGTGAATATGTCTGCGAGCTGATTAATCGTGGAGACGTGCCGGACAAGAATATTTCGGTTCGTGAGGTGGTGTCGGATGAAGTGACAATCAACCTCGATATGTTTCGTTCGCTCGTGAAACACATCGTTGGAGGCAATCTGTATGGCCGATTGTCTGTCACAGTGTAGCGCCATTGGTGCAACATGATTGACACCGAGAGTGACAAGCAACCCTTTAAGCCACAAGAGTTCGCAAGTTGCTGCCGTCATTGCCCGATATTCAGCTTCGGCTGATGATAGGGAGATCGTGTTTTGGCGCTTCGATTTCCATGAGATTGGAGATTGGCCAAGATGTATTAGATAGCCGGAAAGAGACTTACGAGATGTCGGACAACCAGCCCAATCTGAATCACACCACCCATATAGACGAAGGTCTGAATCTGCTCGGAGTAAGATTCCTTGACCGGGATTTCGTTTAAGATATTTGACAACACGTAGTGCCGCCTCCCAATGTGCAAGCTTCGGTTCTTGCATGAATTGAGAGAGTATGTGGACTGCGTAGGTGATATCGGGACGTGTCGCCAGCAAATAAATGAGCCGGCCAACAAGTCTTATGTACTTCTCAGGATCGGATATTGGTTCTGTGGTTGTCAGTCCCAGTCGATGATTCTGTTCCATCGGAAAGTTTGATGGTTTGGCTCCCAAAAGTCCAGTCTCAGTGAGTATATCAAGGGTATATTTGCGTTGGCAAAGAGATATACCCAGTGGTCCTCGTGCCACTTCAATTCCGAGAAAATATTTGAGTGTACCAAGATCCTTCATGTGAAAACACTGTCCAAGATAGTCTTTGAACAATCTGACGGTTGCCGGAGAATTGGCTGTCACGAGAAGATCATCCACATATATTAAAACATGAATCCGAATACTTCCCTTGTCAAAGACAAACAACGAGTGATCCGATTGGGATTGCTGAAATCCATAATCCTGGAGAGCCGAACCGAGCTTTGCGAACCAACATCGAGGGGTTTGTTTGAGACCATACAAAGATTTGCGTAGTCTGCAAACAAGATGCGGAGAGAGTGGTGTAAAACCCGGCGGTGGTTTCATGTATACCTCGTCATCAAGATCACCGTGTAAGAACACATTATGAACGTCCATCTGATGAACATCCCACTGCTTTGCCGATGCGACTGCGAGAAACGTTCTTACCTTACCATCTTGGCAACGGGTGCAAACGTTTCATCGTAATCTATACCTTCGGTTTGATTATTACCGAGAATTACCAATCTTGCTTTTCAGCGTTCAATGGAACCATCAGAGTTGTACTTTATTCGGAATATCCATTTGCATCCGATGGCTTTCTTTTGGAGACCAAGAACATAGAACACTCAGGACAATCGCAGACTGTTGCCAAGAGAGACAGACCCAAATTCAACAGAAACAGTATGCCGACTGTCCGGTAAAATCACAGAACACGGCGACATTGGTGATAGTTCAGATAAAACAACCCTGTTTCCTGTCATGTGTTGAGAGCAACCAGAATCTATAATCCAAGGAATGTCGAGCGGCTTACCAGTCATTGTGTCGGTGCAATTGACGTTGCTGGAGTTGAGCAGCGTCATCAGGGATCTCCATTGATCTTCGGTGATGCCAGAAACAATGTGTTTGTCATCCTCGATTATTGGAGGGGGAGCGGAAGTCAGTGCCGAGTTAGCGGCAACTGTCATGGCATTAGCTCGTATAGGTCGACTACGATCTCCCTGGTTCATTGGAGAAGGTTGTTCCCTTCCACGTCCAGATCTGTTCCTAGGCCTTTCTCCCCACCAATCCGAAAAACCAATGATTTGGAAGCATCCCTCAGCCACGTGACCTGCTCGGCCACAATTGGAACACATGGCAGTTGCGTCCTTTTCAGCAGGCTTTGGCCGAGGCTTCTGTTCAGTGCGTGTGGCAAATGCTGTTACTTCATGTCGTTCTTCTCGGGCATACGAGGCATGATGAGTGTCCTCGTCTTGGATTATCATGTTATATGCTTCTTCCAGTGATGGCAGAATTTGTCGAGAGAGAAGATTTGATCTCACCGTGCTGTAGCGTGTCTCATCTAACCCGAGGAGAAATTCATAAAGTTTGTCTTCTTTCTCTCTTCTCCAATGCAGCAGCAATATCGCACGAGCAACGACCGCATTTGCAAACTTTCAAGGACCGAAAATTTGCCAAATCATCCCAGAGTTTAGTGAGTTTGCCAAAGTATGCTTCAACTGTCATTCCGTTCTGACGACAATTAGCAAGATCACTTCGAATTTTGAGAAGTCGATGATGAGTAGTCTTTCCAAATCGACGCTTCAAATATATCCACAAATCGGTGGCAAATTCACGATGAACCACATCGGAACGGAGATGTGATTCCAGCGTGTTTTTGAGCCATGATACAATGAGGGCATTGTTTGTATCCCAATCTTCAAAGTCCGCCGAATTAGAATCAGGTTAAGGAATCGTTCCACCAACGAACCCAAATTTCTTCCACGATTTAAGTGCTTGACGGATGTTAATTGGCCATTCATCGTAATTGTCTCCACGCAGCAATGGTTGAGACAAAATTAAGCCAGGGTTATCGCTAGGCGTCAGATCGTAGGGCGATATGGTACGTCGAATCGTGGCTGCATTGTCGCGGCCGTTCATGTTGGGTGTCGAGTTTGAAGTGTTGGTCGGGTCAGGATTCGATGGTAAGGTCAGAGTCGGTTCGGTGGAAGTGTTTTCGGTGGCCATAGATTCGAAGGTTACAACGGAATTTATGGTGGTTCGGGCTCTGATACCATGTCACGTATCGAGCTTGAGTTTGAAAGAAAACCGGTCGAGCTTCATTGAGGCTATGCATCCGAATATATACAGAAATTAGAGTTTCAACCTAGCTGAACAAACTGGGAAATAAATCTGCTAAATACAACAGTTTCCTAAATTGTAGGATATGCGAATATACATTCCCGTTACTTAGGAGTCATTGTCGAGCTCTACATACATGTGTTATGGATTGTAAGGGAAATACTTCGGAGATAGAAGAAATTAATGAACACAACTAATGAACACAAAGTTATAGAGAGTCTAGAGGTACGGATACACGTTTTCCAAAGAGTATATTTACCCCACACAAAGTCAATTCGGGTTAAGGCGAAATACTGTCGAGATACAACAAGATTTGTTTTTTTTTTCTAAAATCGAAACTCGGAAAAAAAACTCATACTCATACTAAAAAATATTTAGAATGATTTTGTGTTTTTTTTCTCTTTTCAGAATAGATTGATGAATAAACTCTTAATAAGTCTGAGTCTATATTCTCCCGAAGTTTGTGTTTCTCCTAAGTCGGTCAGTTTCGGTTGGTTTATGTGTTCCGCATGGTTTGTCAAGTTGTCATCTATTGCGGAGAACCGGAGGGTTTATTTTCCGAGATACTGTTCGACCCGCGGGATCGACCGGGGTCCGAACCGAAGGGCTATGCGATGGATTCTCCACTCTTAAAAATAAAAGGTCTGAGTTTGTAAAATCCTCCGTCTCTAGCGTCCAATTCCAAAGTCCTTAGGACCTCTCCTATGCGTTGACATCTCTCATCCAATTGAGGTTGTATCACGTAAGCACCTGTAATGAAAATATTCTTTATCACGACTTCATGTTGTCCAGGATTGGCTTTCGAGGGTACAGACCATTGAAAACCAAGTCCATGCCCTACTTGACGCTAGAGAAGCTCAAATTCAACAATTATGTCTTTCTGGATACTGTTCCAAAAAATTTGTATCAAGTTATCGCTATAGCAAAAAGATATTCAAGATGTGCAAAGTTGTTGACGATCTCATATCTAGCGGAGCCTTTGATGTGGTGACCCAGATCCGCCCCCCACCTAGGGTGGAGATGATACCCACAGAACCCATGGTTGATCGTGAGGCCAAGCTTGCAATGGCATGGGGTCATCTTAGAAATGATCATGTTGGAATCTTTGGTCTATATGGCATGGGCGGAGTAGGAAAAACCACTCTTCTCAAGCATATCAACAGAAAGTTCCACGAAGAAGGAAATGACTTTGACATAGTCATTTGGATTGTGGTGTCTCGAGATGTTCAGATTCTGAAGATTCAAGAAGAGATCGGAGAGAAGCTAGGCTTGAATGACGAGGGATGGAAACAACAAACGCAAACTAGGTGGGCGATTGACATATACAACGCCTTGAGGGAAAAGAGATTTGTATTGTTGTTGGATGACTTATGGAGCAAAGTAAATTTAACAGAGATCGGAGTCCCGTCACCTAATGGAACGAATAGGTGTAAAGTAATATTCACCACTCGATCTCGGGAAGTGTGTGGGTCCATGGAGGCCGACGATGAGATGGAAGTCCAATGTTTGAGTCGTGATGATGCATTAACCCTATTCCGAGAAAAAGTTAAAAATGTATTAGAAAGTGAGCGGGACATTCCTAATCTCGCAGAAAAAGTAGCGAGAGAATGCCAAGGTTTACCACTAGCGTTAAACGTCGTCGGTGATGCCATGGCTCGCAAAAGGACTGTAGAAGAGTGGTACTATGCAATCAATGTCTTGGAATCATCTAACGCGAAATTGAAAGGTATGAAAGATAAGATCCTTTCAATTTTGAAATACAGTTATGATGATTTAATGCGTAATCCATTGGGTGAGAAGATCCAATTATGCTTCCTATATTGTGCTCTATTTCCTGAAGATTATCGAATTTCCAAGGGTTTCTTGGTGGATTGTTGGATAGGCGAGAGACTTATAGATAGAGATGGAGATATAAAAAAAGTTCAGTACCAGGGTTATTCTATCATTGGCACCCTTGTCAATGCATCTTTACTGATCGAAGAGGGCAAAGATTTTGTGAAAATGCATGATGTGGTTCGTGAAATGGCACTTTGGGTGGCATGTGATACGGGGAAAGAAGAAGAAACTTTTTTCATAAAAGCGGGTGCCAATTTACATGAGATGCCAAAGATTAAGAATCAAAATAATGTGAGGAGGATGTCATTGATGTGTAACCGGATCCAGAAGATTTCTGGTGGTCCTCAATATTCTAAGCTGAAGACCTTGTTCCTCCGAGATAACAAGTTGGTGGAACTATCAGATGACTTCTTTCAATTTATGCAAGGTCTCATATGTTTGGATCTATCGGTGAATATAGATCTCAATGAATTGCCGGAGTCAATATCAAAGTTAGTATCATTGAGATTTCTCAACTTATCATTGACAAAGATAAAACGATTGCCAGATGGTTTGAAAGAGTTAAACAGACTTATCTACCTTAATTTGGAAGGAACATTTGAGCTTGAGAATATTCATGGAATATCAAGTCTATGGAGGTTGAGAATATTGAGACTAGTTGGGTCTAAGGCAAGGATAGATGTGGATACAGTGGATGAATTACAACTTTTGCACCATCTAAGTGTTCTAACCATAAGTATATGTGATCACTGTGCTGTGGAAAGACTTGTTAGAAATGTGAGTTTCGTTCGCTGCATCAGAACACTAAATCTCGAGGATTTTAGTCAGGAGATAGAGATAGAAATATCGACATGGTGGTTACGGAATCTGCGCGAGGTAACAATATTCAATTGTGGAGGTATAAAGGATTTGACTTGGTTGCAATATGCTCCATATCTTACTTCCCTATGGGTATCAAGATGCGGGAAACTTGAAGAAATAATAAGGGAAGAGAAAGCGGGGAATGGCGCATGGAAGCCTTTTCATAGACTAGAGTGTTTAGGATTGGAAGACCTGCCAGAGCTGAAGAGCATCTATTGGTCAGCTCTTTCCTTCCCTTGTTTGAGCTTTATCAGAGTTCATAATTGTCCAACTCTGAGGAAGACGCGGCTGGACGGAAGCCTTCCACTAGATCTTGAAACCTTTCAGATAGATGCAGATGTCGATAGACAGAAGATTAATCTGCGGATAGATACTTATGGTGAACATTTGGCCTCCACATCCGAGGTATCTTCTCTTTCTGAATGTCGTCATATGGAACTTCCCAACTCTCTCATTATATTCAAAAGTTTTATTCAAGCTTTTCTAAAACATGATTCCATCCGATCTCGAAACATTTCAGGTTGAATCGAGGACTCCTTCGTTGATAATATCCTGTGTAGAGCTACCCGATATCGCTCGTCTTCATAGCGGGGTCTGTTGTCTTTCTTTTCTTCTCCTTTCTTCTTACTTTTTGAAAGATGATTAATGAATTCTTCTTCTTCTTTAGATGGATATTCCACAGCGTTTCCGTGGGACAGAATCTGAGATGTCGACCATACATTGAAAAGATTATAATTAATATCGCGGACAGGTAAGGTGAAAATACGATCTTGTCCACCAAGCTGATGGTCGTCATTCTGTTAAACGCCTTTTATTCATCCTGCTTGTTTCAGGTCGAAGAACATGATATTTTGGACAAAAAGCCAAGCAGGAATCTCACAAGTCATCACATTTGCCCAACTACGCATTCCGAACGTTGTTCATCTATTGATAATAATAATAAGCATGAACCTATATATATATCTTCCCCGTTTGTTCTTTAGTTATGGTGCTTCTGTGTTCCTATTTTGATGCTACTTTATTTCATTTGCCAAGTGTTTCGTAAAGGAATAAGACAACGATTGTTTTATTTGAATTTTTTATAATAAAATATTTTACCAAACATCGAACTAATTCGGAGATAATAGGATACTATATGAATGTTTTAATAGGGTATTTGGTATTTGGTCCTAGAAGAAGATGTGGCTTATATTTATAACGCTCAACAATTTCTTAGTTATTTCTTTTACGATACAAATGACGGGAAAGAATCTTATAACATAAATATTCTAATATTTTAGATTTTTAACATAATTATGTAGATTTTTTATTCTATATACGATTTCTGATTAAAAATTCACGAAATGGAATCATAAATTAATTTTGGGTTTGATTCAAATATTAATGGTCTAAAATTAAATTTGAACTAAGATTAATTTGATCCAAAATGAAATTTTAATAAAAAAATCAAGTTTAACTCAGTACTCCATCGAAACTTTTTTTTTTTTAATGAAAACTCCGTTGAAACTTGATTCAGAACAATTGGTTGAAACCGATTACGACTTTACATAGATCACCAAAGAGGAAAACTGTTTTATTGTATATAATACTAATAATTTTTTAAAATATTTTTAATTAGCTATTTATCATTATTTGATACCAATTAATTATCAAATCTATAAATAACTAATTATAATTTTTTAAAGCATAGTTTTTTTAATCAATTTAATTTTTTGGGGTTCTCAATGAAACGGAAGAACGGAGAAAATTCGCCGAGGGTTGGCTATGATCATGCACGATATTGTCATGAAATTCCAAAGAGGATCAACGATCGGAGTTTTTCAAACGACGGGATTGAAAAACACTAACGATGTTTAGTCTTATACATATTATTTAAAATTATTCAAGATAATCTATTAAAATGTTTAGAGAAATTACAATATTAATACCTGAACTTGTCAAATTTCTCAAAATAAAACCACAATTTTAATTTTGCATTTTAAAACCTGAACTTTGAAATTCATGCAAACTTTATAAACTATATCAAATTTTAAAAGACAAAAAATAAAGTCGAGGTTTTATTTTGGAAAATTTGACAGGTTCAGGTATTAATATTCTAATTTCCCAAATATTATAAATATGGACCAAACCATAAACGTGATGGTGTGTATGTTCATATTGGGTTGTGTTTCGGACAAGATATTTTCCTGTCTGAAAACAATCAACGTGATGGTGTATGATTGGTGCGATATAAATGCGTCAGTATGGATACGATATGATGTATCTCAAAGCAGTGTGAGTACGGTCCCATACGAATTGTACGCTTTAATAAGCCATGGACCCAACTTATGGTTACCAATGCACCGATATATACATCTATCAGTCATAATGTCCCTTTATTTATACCAATACCAATGTAACTATATATTGTTTTCTCTTGTTATGCTTATTACAATATGCAGAGTGCTAACAATGTTTTCTCTAATTAATATTTAAGATTAAAAAAAATTACAGAGGCTGTCCATTTATCCACCTTTGAAACATGATGGAGCCTTCCTCCGGTTTATACTCTACGGTATGTCCACAACCCTACAAGACCGAAAGAGTTGAAGAGCCATAAGAACGACCAAATGACGAGAAGAACTCTCAAGGGCTGAGAGAAAATAGAGGAGAACACTTGCTTTGATGGTGGCGAACGTCATCTTGTTGGCATACGTCCTCGTGTACCTGCCCGGTCGAGACAACGGTTCGAGAGAGAAATCTACGGTTTTATGAGTATGAAAGACGGAAACGATTACGTTCGGAGAAGGAAGGTATGTTACCCGGCGACCTGGTTGTTGATGATCCACGGCCTCCAGTCGTCGACGATGGAATAGTTTAGGGATCGTATCCATGCTTGAGTTCCAAGGAAAGGCACCATCATGTCGTGATCGCCGCTGTTTGTTTCAAAAATCCCCGAACTCGTTAAAACACCCAAATCAGTTCTTGAGAAGCAGGGGATGGATCTATAATCTGACCTGAAAACGAGAGACCGGTAACCCTTGAGGCTGTTGTTCAAATGGTACGGTATGCTGCTTCTGATGTCGTAGTCGTAAGGCATTCCCCAATTGCATCTCACCCAATTTCCTATACTTCCCTGTACCCGAAACCCTCCAAACCTTAAGCCTAACATTGTTCACTTTATCACCATATAACTCTCGATATATATATATATATGTATATATACACGTATATACCTTCACCACGTGAAGCGCTCTCCGCACCTTCTCGTCGTTAGCCCAGTACGATGATAACAAATACCGATATGTCTGAATGCGAAGGCGAAAGCAATTACATGTATAAAACATATGTAATGGAAAGTGAAGCAAAGATCAAAGCCAAGAAGATCACTCACGTAGCAATCAGAAGCTGGAACCGAAAGGCTTGTGTTTAGAAGTTCTCTACTGTATCTTCTTCGAGTAATGTCTGATAGAGACGGCCTCGGAGAAGAAAACTCACACAGTGGAGTCAGGATAAACGCTCCGTTTATCCTCGAAACGCACTGTTATCGACCACAGAAGTTTCGACCATCATTCAACTTGTCAATCATCGCGGTTGCGGTTTGATGTACTTACTTATCTTTCTTTGTTAAATTGTAGAAGAAGATATACCTTATCGTAGTCTTGAAGGAGATTCAAGCATTCCGAGTTACTAGGATCGACATCCCAATAATTTCCTCCGCAGCTTCTCTTCAATGACTACAAAGGAATAGATTTCATAACTATAGTTTTGGTGGTAAGAAACGAGAGATCGGTACGATTCTATATACCTCGTAGAGCTCGTCCGAGATCAGTCCCATTCCATGAGCATACGGGATTTTGGAGTTGCTATCAAAACTGCCGTCCGTCTTAGGGTTCCCGAGAACATATCCCTATCGAACGCATAACGAGAGAAACAAATCTTCAATTTCATGATTGTTTTTCGTCAAGATATCTATCTAGCGATTAGCAAATTAGGCAATATAAACGGATGCACCTGAAGATTTACTCGAGGTCTAAAGCCTTTGTCATTTCCTGCATCGCCATGGTTTCAAGATTTGTTACGATGTGAGAAATATACAATTCAATCAAAGGAAACAGATGTTCATAGAGATGTCGGGCCGAAAAGCAACATATATACCATTGGAAATCTCTTGAACGATTGCCGGGACAACCCTACCAGAGTAAGAATCTCCCCCGACATAAAACGGATTCGACGTGAACCGTGGATGATCAATCAGCCACTTCGAAAGCAAAAACAAATGATCAAAACCATTTATTTATGGAATTCTAATCATACATTACATGTGTATATATATATATATACCTTTCTAACAAATTCGTAGACCTGTACGGCTTGTCTCGTGTCGCTAGGTTTATCAGCAAGCCGAGTTCTTGCGTACGAGAAGCCGGTTCCAACGGGTTGGTCCAAGAATATTATACTCGCGACCTATAAACGACCCGAAATCAAGGACGAACGAACGCATTTTTGTGGATAAATTCTTCGGAAAAAAACCCTCGAACCTTAGTCCATGAATATGAAGTGGAGACCAAGGAAGGGACACCTCCATTGTAATCATCAACCTCGAAAGCCAAAGGACCTGCGGGATTTCATCTGATTAGAGAAATCGTTGACAACTCGGATAATAATTTTATACGGAAAGAGTTCGGATACCGATCTCGAAAGCTAATCCAGAGAGTGAAGTGCAGCCAGGTCCTCCACTTAACCAAATCACAAGAGGGTCTTCTTCTGGATTTCTCTCTGATTCTATGAAGTAGTAGAAAAGGTTCACCCCCTCTCCCTCGCCAACGCCAACATATCTAAACCAAAGAACCTTAAACCGATCAAACGTTTTGAAAACGTGCTTACAGTAATAAATAACGGATTATAATCAAGATCAGGACAAAACCCATTACAGGAAATTCAGTTAAACACGCACCCTGTTTCGAGCTTGAATGGCAGAGGACCTTCGAAACCAGGAAGAGACTCAACGGAGACACCAGAATCGACACGTTGAGCCGCTACAAGTATCATAATTAAGTGAAATATCGAGAGATAATACGCTGTTGCCATTTTTGTTTTCGGACAACAAATTATTCAAACAGATGATGGGGTGATAAAATCAGAGGGTCCGGTTCCGTGAACCATTCGTCCTCTACGAATTTGTTTTTTATTTTTTTAAATTATTAAATGTGGGGAGTTTATCATTGAAAAGGAGATGTTTGGATGATAGAAAATTTAAAATTGATGCTCCTCGTTTTTCCATGGAGGAAATCAAAATGCATTGACTTATACATATAGTAATGGCGTATTGACATGGAGCATTTCTTTTCCGTCCTTGTCTCTCTATATATATTGGATAATGTTTTTTTGAGAATTGTTTTATAAAAAAAACAAAAAAAAAAATAATCTACATAACTTATGTAAAATAATAATATAGCATCAATTCTAATTTACGTAATGGTGAAGTTAGATCCTATATACATAAACAGATGATATTTTAAAAAAAAAACTCAGTGTTTATGAGATTTACCTTTTGATATTCGTCGTGTCTATATTCGAAATTTCCTTTTTATACAGCTTCCGAAACTCTAAATCAAACATTGTAGCAAAACTATGACAATATCCTTGATATAAAATTTACATATAAAAAAAAAACAATTAATAGTTGGCTCAGGTATTATCATTTATTCTAGTTCAGTTGATGATTTTCCAACTATTAATTGTTTTTTTATTCTTTATTTTTCATCCATCTTGACTATATAAACGAATTTGATCTGCGGCTCGTGAATCAACTTATTTTCATTAAATTTGGTTGGAAAAATTATAAACCCGAAAAAAGAGATCAGGCGAGCCATTTCACCATGAGCTGAGTTCGTCACGGTTCAACTCAACCGACCAACGAATGGGCTCACGAACCAGAATATTTTTCAAAAAAAATTATTTATTTGATTTTTAACATTATTAAAATTTTAAAAAAGTTAGAAGGAGATTACAATATTAAATACTCAGCTATACTCAAACTTCCATATTAAATACTAAAATTTTCAATTTCCATATAATATAAACTATTATCAAAATTACATAACAAAAACTCAACTATTCAAATTTTGCCAAATCTCAAATTCCGCACTAGTGATAAGAAAACATTGTAATTCTTTTTTTTGGTGGACCAAATTATAAGGTGGTGTGATTACAGGTGCAATTCAGAAATATTATACTTAGGAATTGGAAGAAATGAATTGTTCAAATCGGAGAAAAGAAAGAATTGCAAGATTATTTTATAGTTAATGGTTATTTTTTCCTTAAAAACCCATTGTTTTTCAAGTATTTTTTATTATGCGAAGATCTCACATGAGTATATATTCTTTCGCTGTCTTTATATAATCCGAATCTTAAAATAGATATATATATATATATATATAAGTATATGCATTGGGGAAAAAACGTGGAGAATACAAAATTCACAGTCAAACAAAAAATTGTTTTTCTCAGCAGAATATATTATTATGAAATTAAAAACAAAAACAAACAAATTCGTAGAGGACGAATAAATGGAAAGCGGACGGAACCGGACCCTCTGATTTCATCACCCCATCATCTGTTCTGAAATAAAATGTATCAAATTTCAATAAATTATTAAAGATAATTTTCGTTCTAGACAATTTTATTTATTGAAATCATTAAAATACTATTAATCAAAGTATATATGACTTTTTCTTTGTTTTTTTTTTTAAATACAAAATAACGTAAAATGTAAGTATTAATGTGTATTAAAAACCAATCACTTTGAATGTGAAAACCACAAGTTGGGTCCATAACTTATTACAGAGGTTCGCTGTCTGAAAAAAAAAAATCCAAAGTACATAAAAACAAGAAAAGTGTACATACAGCTAAGCGTTTATATGGCACTGATACGTGTGTACCGAGTCTAGAATTTATACCCGATTCACAACTCACCGCAAGGATACGGATCGTCGTAACACGGGGTCGAACGCAAGGACCGGTAGCTAAATCTAAATCCTAATCGAGACTAAATCAAAGCAAGCAAGTAGAAGTGATGGTGGAAGTGTATGGAAAGAATAGAAAATATGGAAGCAAAACAATAAAAGCGAGTAAACTAGCTATCTAAGATGACCGTGGGTGTCGGGACCGTATTCGCGTGTATGGGTATATGCTAAGTATGCGAGAATCACGATATTGAATTTGTATTCGGGAATCGTCAAGCAACAAAAATAGAGAAATCACCTCCCGGCATATAACTCACTATCTAAAGTTCTCTAAATCCATATCCCTATGTGATTTATCAAACTAGATGCATAAAGAACACTATCATCAATCCTAGATCGATAAAACCATATTCCTATGTGAATAATACAATCTATTCTATCGATTTCGATCCGAAACTAAACCCATATTCCTATGTAGTTCAGAATCTGAAATAATTGGCCAAGGGGTCAGCAAACACCAATCGAATAAAGCACAAATCGATAAAACCGAAACAAATCCAAATCGCAACCAAGTTAGGGTACAAACATACCCAAAACACAAACGAATCCCTAACCCACAGCCGTGGATCTACTCACGGTTCATGGAAAAACACAGAATAAAACCAGAAA